TTTTATAGGGAACTAAGACACCCGTTCATTCCTAGTATTCGCGCTCGCCTTTATGGCTGTGAACTTCGCTGGATATCCGTGTTCATGTGATGTCGAGGAAACTCGCCGCAGCAATAGAACTTCCGCTGCCTGAAGTATGAGTAAAAAAAGGAACACCCCACGTGCGCCATATAGAGTGAGTAGCTAGTTTTGAAGGAAGTAAAACTGCACGTCCACAACGTGAACGCCTTTTTGTGTCTGAGTTTGTGATAAGTGCTGGTTGAGGAGGAGAGGGAGCACAGGAGCCGCACATCGCTTGGGTGGATGGAGTGCACTGTGGCGGAGGTTGTTCAGCGCCAGTTTCGAGTCTGTTTCGGTGATTGGAATTCGACGAAGGCTGGTTTCAGGCGATCCATACTAGCAGACTTTGGAACCATTTCTTTCCGATACGAAATAGGTCCCTTACTAGCGTTGACTTTGAATCGGCCTTCGTAAGGTGGTGTCAAATGCTTGCGAGCCGCAACAATGTGTAGGAAAACGAAGGGGCACGTGTGTATGTCGAGGTGAATGGGATGCTTCAGAGAAGTGAATCTCGGTGGAGTTAGACGAATGGCGCTGAAGCTTTGTTCCTGTCGTGCAACACATGACGTGGAAGCAAATAGTTATTCTCCAGAAAGTCTCCGCATCGTACCGAAGAATAATTCAGTGGGGAAACCAACCGACGTCTTCCTTCACAGTGTTGCGGATCCCGGGGCAAATGATCTAGTAACGCACCCAACACTGGATACTCGATTGCTTCGCAGTTATTGCGGCTTTAAGTTGGAGGTAAAAATGCTCGATTAAACCGTTAGCAGCTGGATGATATGCTGTCATGTGTAAATGTTGGCAGCAAAGTATGCGGTTAAGGTCGTAAACATCCATCCTCCTCTATCCGTGGTGATATTGGCGGGGGGTGAAACACGGGTATCCAAGTACCGATGAAATTTTGTGCCGCCATCTCGGCTGAGACTTCTCGCAACGGCACAGCACGTGGCCAACGTGTGAAGCGATCGACACATTTCAACACGTAGATAAAACCGTTGGATGACGACAGAGGTCAAACAATGTTGCTAGGAACATGCTTGAATCGAGTTTTGGGCAGAGAAAATGTTCTGGAACTTAATACAGTCTTTCACCCACTGCTGGTTATCAGAGCGCTTGCTGGGACAGATGAAACTATCGGTAATCCGCTTGATAGTAGAGCGGCTGCTCGGCCCGGCAATTCCATACAAGTGGTCAAACACAATGGGTCGATAATGTTGTTGAACAACTGGTCGTGGATTTCCGGTGGATATATCACAGTAAATTCGAGAATCCGCGTTTGGAACAGACAGTTGAAAAAGTTTAATAGAAGCATTTAAGCATTTTTAACTGCTCAAACCTAGGATCTTTTGTATATTGAGCGTCAATGGCTTCTAGCCTGATTGCTTGGCTCAAAATCTTGTGAAAACAAATGCTGGGTAATGCGTCGACTACAACAATGCACACGGCATCAATTTGTCGAGTGTCAGTGGTAAACT